GAAGCAGAGAACCAGAGAACTTATAATAATAATAATAATAATAATAATAATAATAATAATAATAATAATAATAATAATAATAATAATAATAATAATAATAATAATAATAATAATAATAATAATAATAATAATAATAATAATAATAATAATAATAATAATAATAATAATAATAATAATAATTTTAAGTTCTCTGGAGAACTTATAATAGGAGAAGGAGAGAACTTAGAATTATAATTAGCTATTATAAGTTGTCTGGAGAAGGTGCAATTCAGAGAACTTAAAATAACGAGAAGGTGCAACTGACTAATAATTTTAAGTTCTCTGCTTCTCGTTATTCCAAGTTCTCTGCTTCTTGTTTTTAAAGTTCTTTGGTTCTCTGGTTGCACCTTCTCGTTATTATAAGTTCTCTGTTCTCTGCACAGCTCACAAAAATTAGAAGTTGTAGAAATTTCTGTACACACTACGCACAAACATACTCTCGATAAGGCGAACAAACGTATTGCAATTCAAAATTCTAAAATTTATGTTGAGGGCATTTATCAAACCATAAGATTTTTAAAAACATAATTTGAATTCAGAATTAAAAGAGTTTAGTAATGTCAAATCAATTCAAAATGTATCAAAATTAGGAAATACTACACCTTTAAATAATATAAACTATTGAGCTTATTTAATTGAAACTATGTACGCATTGTTCGCATGCACGCGCGCGCACTGTGCACATCAGCGAAGTCGATTGTTGTCGAAGTGCGTGCGGGGAGAACAAGAACAAGAAGACAACTAATGGTATATTTCTTTGACTCGGTATAACTACAAAATATGTCACAATCTTAACAATGCCCGAGCCCTTGCCCTTATACCCCGCCATCCACAAGCGATTTCTTCGTGACGATCACAAAATTTTGCTAGATTTCATATTTTTGGCATTTTGGTGTACGAATTCTGGTACAGTAAACTTTGTATACCACGAATATATCAGTCGCTAGTCAACAGCTATAGGAGTGATCCGTATATAACTTCATATATTTGAAATTTGTGTTGAAATCTATAATTATTTTAAGTTAATTAACCTTTTTAAATAATATTCCTATATTTTTCATAATTAAAATATGTATTAATTAAATAATCGAGGAAGTTTTAGAAGTTACAGGCGTCATTTGTATATAGCTATTTAATTCTTCATCGATAGAAAGCTAAGATTTTTTTTAAACATTTGTTTGGCATTTATTTCAAATAAATTTTGTAAATCTAAACAAAAAGTTCACTCTATCGAGAGCGCGATTTACTGTTGTTGAAGAAGACACAAATTTGTTCAACTTCCAATTTTTGGCACTTTGGTTTGTTGGCGAATAGTATGCAGGGAGATGTGTGGTGCGCAGCTCGTTTAGTAGACGGTGCGCCCTCTATTGGCTTTTTTAGATAAGTTTTGATGTATTGAATGGTTTTTAAAAATATAATTCCTTAACATATTTAATTGATAACTCTGAAATTTCGCCGCCTTATCTGGTGTACATGTATTCGAAATTTTGAACACCATACATGTCGATAATGTTGTTTGTCTGAAAACACCATTTCAGATACTCCTAACGATGTACATATGTATGTATATCCCGCGAATCGCTCTATTCCATTTAGATAGATCTGTACAATTTCGTTACTTTCAATTAGTAGTTAGTGCAGATTCAAAATATATTTTGTAAAAGTAATTTGTTTAAATATATATATATATAATATATACTTACGAGAACGTAAATATACGCTTGACTAAAGTTGTTCATTATCTAGGTATCTATGTAGTAGGTACTCAAACACGGCGTAACAGCCGCATAGTGCGACATTTCAAAAATTTAATACCCTGACTGAAATTGGGACAGATGATGTCTTGTAGCACATACACGTGTACTAACGAATATGCAGACTTGAATGTATACATATTATGTCTCTTACACGGGTCTGCAGTGAAAGATATTATTTGTTTAGTGGGACACTGCTAGTTTGCATTGTGCACCAACTCAGGCATGGAAATGTAAATTGTTGGATTATGCAAACATCTTTACATACGTTTATTTATTTAAGTTCAATATCTAATTCACACAAATAAGAATAAATAAATTTGCAAACAGCGAGTACACACCAAGCACGCTATTGTAATTACAGACACATACTCGTACATTCATACGATGGAGCGTGTGGCGGATAAGACGTGGGGCAAAAAACCAAATTTTTTTTTTTCAAAATATTCACCAGCAAGACGGATACATGTTTTCTCTTCATCTTTAAAATACGCCCAAACCTCCATAGCTATTTTTTAATTATTGTGAACAGGCCTGGATGGTGGGTGACGAAACCAAATTCGAGGACTTTACGAAAGGCATAATTAGACTTCGACGGGTTGGGTCGGAGGCAAACACTTCTGCAGACATGCAATCTATTGTAATCCCATTCTCTGTTTTAGTATGAGAATTACATTTAAAAACCCGAAATGCTCACTAAAAACGCGCGCATCCAGCTCCACACAAGAATCAGCTTGTGTCTTAACGCACAAACAAAATAAGGCTTAAACAAACAAACATTAAATGACAATTCTTTATAAAGTACGAGACGTGTGCAATCATATATCGAGCTTTTTATATATGTGTATATATATGCCAGATAGCAAACAGAAAGTACACCATTTTTTTTGGGAAATTAAGTGTAGCGGTTACTTCTTTTTTACTTAAATCTTTCTGGTTTTTCGTCTCTTACCATTCAGCTAATCATCCAGCCTTCCCTCCTACCGCCCAAGAAACAAATTGACCACAAAAGTGCAAACAAGTGTCGAGAATATATGTGTGTGTCTATGCAGCCATATGTGCACGTTTGCAAGGAGCATTTTGGGTAACTGCAGCCAATGGTTGTGTGTGAAGAGTTCAAAGTGAAAGTGTGTGAGCGTGCTTGTGGTTGCACTTTAAATAAAATAAAATACATTTTCTCAGCCAACAGGCCGAAACTTAAACAAATATCTGAAAATACATATTTATCGTGGAAGCATTCGCTGGGTTTGCGTTATGATTTATTTACCTTATACTCTATTCTGCTTCTCATTTTTAATTTCAGTTTTATTTAGTTCGCTTGCTTCGTTTCATTTTCGGGTTCTGCTCTGAAATATCAAGAACTTTTAGGGTTTCCTGCTGTACTTCTATGCTGTTTTTATGCGTATGCATATTTGTATAGACATAGTATATGTATATCTTATGTATGCAGGTAAGTGTTTATAACTCCTTTAAGATACATACCTATGTCCGTATTTCAAATAGGAGGAGCTGGTTTTGATTTTTGGTGAATTTTTAATGGGGAAAAATATGTGTGTCTTGAAATTTTAATTAAAATGTTTCCATTTCACAATCTTTTAAACGTATGTACACTTATGCCTTTTTAAGTCTAGAATTTTTTGTACTTAAAACTTTAGAGAGGGTCCTTACTACCATAGGTCGTAATCTGCAATGTGGAACAGCGACCGCTGGCGTGGGAAACTCTTCTTCTTTTGGCGTTAGCACCGCTTATGCGATTATAGCCGAGAGGACTTTACTTCTCATTTGCCTACTACCTGCTCACCTAAGACTATATTTTCAGTTTATTTATGAAATGGTATCTTCACTTTGGTCCCAAGTATGCGAGAACCAAAAAGAGAAGAGATGCATCAATAAAAATTTATACCGATATAATCAGCATGTCGAGTTAAGTTGATTAGACACTTTTCCCGCCAGCAGAATCAGAGGGCGAGGAAGGGGTCTACTGCGTGGAAAAAGTCAAATAGAGGAGATCTTGGCTTCCAGATCTCTGAAGAGGAAATACGACTAGTATTTTGTTGTTGATTTTTCTCTAATCCCGTGAACGGCGTTTTGCTTCGTTGTTAAGTAATAAATCATTTATTTCTTTTGTTACTCATTTATGGTTCTGTGTATGAAAAGAGTGGCCTTGTTCGATACAAAGGTGTCTATGTAGTAAATTTAAATCAGCATTAGAAGTATTTATTTGGAAAAATTGAGTTCGGGAAAATGGCTGTAAAATATAAAATAAAGAGACCCCATAAAATTAAAAGAAAAAGGTTTAAGGAAAAAGGTTACAGCCTCAACATCTTTATGTGTTTGTTAAAAATCTTGTATTGGTTGGTGTGTGTGTCAGGTTGAGGCGGCTGTGAATGATTTTCTAACACTTCCTCAATCCCGCATGTTTGTAAAAACATTCTCTCATACAAATTGTAGGCGTGTTGCTAGTTTTCTTGTTTGCGTTAAACTTTCTATTACTGGCATGTTGTTAAATTCTAAATTTGCTCGGTTTTTATCCGCCTGCTGAGTCTACTTTTACTTTTGGGCTAAAAGATAATGAACAATCATGCACACATGATGACACCAATTGTGTTCATATTGTAGTATATATGTACAATGTACACACATGCACAACATACCGCATATTTTACTGCTTGGCTAACATATTTGGAAATTTTATACTTGTTTGACCATAAATGGGGTTTCACCTATGCGCTCGTGTGTATATTATTGTACGATGCTCTAATATATGTATGCGCTCACATGTATGTGTTTGGGTTACATTGTGACGATCTCGACAAGTTTACACCAACGCAACTTGTCTTGTAAAGAAGATGAAAAATAGCTTTCCCGATTTTCCATTCATAATTCAGAAGAGAGATGTGGATGCGTTGCCACAGGGAGTTTTTAGGGCAAATAAGCAATCTATGTTGAGGATAATTACAGCAAATTAACTACTTTAGTGTCTGTGATTAATCGCGATAACAAACGTGGTCAATAAGCGTTATTGTATTATATTAATTAAAAAATATTTAATCCTCATTACTCCCCATATTATTCGCTTTCAAAAAGGTGTAGACTATTTAGAATTCGTCGCTTAAAATATTGAACTGTTTTTCTGAAGAACCTCAGTGTCGAACTGAATGCTATTGAAACAAATTTTTTGAAATTAATAAAACGTTTAAACATTGTGAATATATAATTTGTGTTATATATAAGTACGATTATAAAATTATATATATTCAATTATAATATTAATATGAGACAAGAGTAACAATCATTTCTTAAGAAGGTGTATAATAGTCCTTGCTACATCCTGGAAAGTAAGAATAAAAATATTTGTAATAATCAAAGGGATCATATACTCACTAGTCTCCGACTCCCATCCCGGCTCCACACTATTCTTTTTATTCTCCTCCTTTAGCCATGTATAAAGTGGCGCAAAATATTCCATAACACCTTTGCCGCTCAGCTTACGTTCGCCCGTGGCGATTTCCATCAAATCACGCCAGTGCTTGGTGGCACCGGCCTCCATCATTTGTCTGTGAAGCGGATATTTGGTGAATTTTTATTTTCATTTCAAAAGTTGATTCAGGTGAATTCGACTACACACTACACTCATACTCTAACAAATAAGCATATTTATCTTTATGTATGCTGTGTATGTTTGTTTACTCACTTCATCAAATCGCCTGCCTTGGTGCTGCCATAGAAATCGCAGTTGTGCAATGGATATTCCGGATCGCCGGGTCGATACTGCTCACTGGCTAAACAAAATGCCCGATAAAACTGATAGCCAAGTATTTCCGAAAGCAATTTCCTGTTAAGAAATTGTAAAAAAGAGATTTCAGTGGCGCGGCAGTGAACTTATACATAAAGATTTTTTCAAAATTCAAGATTCGGATAGGGCCTGAAATAGAGACTAATTACCCTTGTGGTATTCGCGAACTATTGAAATGATGTTCTTTGGATCCCATAGCTGATGGGGTTCAATTCCAAATATACTTGAAGCTACTTAGAAGGTGTACATACATATATTGTTCGTAGCTCGTTGTTTGTATATTGCACCAACTCTTCCACGGATACTAGTATATGTCAATATGTACATATGCAGGTGTATCAAGGATGTATTATCTTTCCAAATGTTTGTTTAAATTGTTGAGTGATTCTTTCTGTTCAGATTTTTTGATTTACATTGTTTTGCCCTTTACAGTATAATGATATGATCAGAATGACAAACTGAGTTGATTTACCCATTTTCTTCTATCCATCTGTTTGTACGTAAACAATCCATATTTTGCAGATTTTGTGGATTAAGAATTTGGTATTCTACAGATATAAATTCTGAATCATCGAGATCAAAATTCGCGCTTAGTAATAAATTTGATAGGTTCATGAAAGGTGTAAAGACTGGCCGAAGGCAGCACTTCTTTTTTGTCTTGCATTGTCAAAGAGAATTGTTTTGGATTTCTCCACCCTCTATAAAGTTGATTGTCTAAACTCTCTATCTGTGTTTCGTTATTAAACCACAGAGAGGTATGAAATGACGGAAGGGAACTTGTTCCAAAACACTCTCTTAAAACCATTGTCTCAGAGGTTTTTTATAAAGAGTGTGTATGACTTTGGATCAAAGACTATTAAAGTATCATGGTGATGATTGTTGATTCCCGATTGTTCTTTGTGGAACGGATTTTTATTGATTTTGAGAAAAATTTAGTCCACTCACACTGTATTTGGTTTCTCCGGGTTCAACCCTCGATAAAATTTAAAATCAGGATCAAAAGTTTTTTCATTACGTCGCATCGGTGGCACAATACCAGCGTATTTATTTTGCAAGTTCCAGTAGCCACAATTCAAATCCTGAGCGCCAATGTGGCCGTCCATGACGTCAACAAGAAACTTGTCATTGACGAAATATTGTGGTATAGCTAAAATGGTGTGGATACCCTTAAGGAAAAACAGAAGAATTAAGGAAAATATGCAATTTTAGTTACACAGTCTGTGTATTTAGAGGGAGGTTCTTTCGTGAGTATAGCTTACCATGCGGAATAATCGATTCATTGACTGCTCCTCATTTAAACTATGATTGAAGAGTATATGCAGTTGATTGAGGTGACGTGGTGTGCCTGATGCAATAACAGCCGCTTCACCAATACCACTCGCAAAGCCCGGACATGGCTCACTGTCCACTCCGAATGGCAAACGTCCACGATAGATATTGTATTGAAGCTCAGCCATGTTACCATGAATTTGCATAAGTTTTTTATAATCCAGTTTCGGGCAATAGCGCAACGCGGCGTCAGGTGGAAAGTAAAAGACTTCTGCTCGACAATCGGGTCCGAGCTCCTCATCACCAATACGTCGTGAAAAGCGATCGTAGAAGGAACTATATGAAACGTAGAGAGGATTGGTTATTTCGTTTCTAATAGTGAAGACTTCGTCTAATTAAAGCCATAAAATTAGTTTCCACTGATTTTTACTGCAGTTTTATGGTATTGCTAAAATTGTTTGAGAAATTTCATCCGTTTTTAATATAATGCGATTCAGGAAAACTTTATGGCTGGTGGCTTGGAGTATTGTATGAAATCTGTCATTAAAAACAGTGTGTGTGTTGTTTGTCGAGTGATTATTCAACAACTGTTTCATATTTAGACAAGTGTGGACACAAGCATGTTAACTTTCCTCTCTCATTGAGAAACTTAGATGATCACACAGCCTTCTCAGTAATTCTCTATTGGACATCCAGGTATATGTATATTCATGAATGTGGAATTTTGTAAAAAATTTGATTTCAGGAGCCTCCAGAACTTAATCCAAAATAGTTCTCATTCCCCAACCACCCAAGCAAGAAAACAAATTATTCGTACTTACTCCGACATATGATTCAAGCCGAGGGATTCAAAAAACTCTGCCGATTTTTTAATAATCTTCACCGTTGTTACCAGAATTTCCTCTAAACGTTGTTTCACTGTGGGCAATTGATTCTTGGGATAAGGTGTGCGGAAGACAGTGCGTGACGACCATGCCTGCCTTATAATTTGCTCCAATACATGTGCTGGTATGGCGCCTTCATTTGCATTCAACTTTTCTCCATAAGTGCTGCGGACACATTTCAGTAAATAGGCATGCAATTCCTGATACAATGGCATTATTTCCCATACGACATCCTCGAGCTCACGCTGAAAATTATCGGTATCATAATATAGATACCAGGTACGTGATGGGGTTATGTGCCCTGCATGGGAAAAGGAGAGACAATCGACATATGTATAAATTGTTGGGTGAGTGTAAGTAAGTAGACAACGGAAGTGTGTATGAATAGATATATGTTTACGAGCATAAATATGTAATATACAATATATATACATACGATTATATATGTAATATGCTAGCTGAGCGTCGAGGAGGGAGATAGTGCTCATGTGGCGCTCAGACCATAGCATTTAATATCGGTGCCAGTAAATGTCCTTTTCATTTGTGATTATTTAAATGACATCTTGCTCTCATTGATTTCTCGTCAATCACGTGGTTGGTCACCGACTATCTCATTATTCGCTCCCTACCCTCCACTTTCTAATGCCTGATCCTGTCGCTAATATTATGCAAACTGGTTCCTACTCAGGATTACCCAGTGAACATAAAAAAGATTTGTTTTTTTCAATTTTTTAGACTGAGACTTTGGACTGAGTAGGCGTTTGAAAAGCAGAGTCCCTACCGACGAACGCATTGGCAAAGGTGAATATCGTAGACGATGGAACGATGAGCTGACGAGTCATACGGCGACATTGACATAGTTCAGCAAATCAAGAAGCAGAGGCTACGCCGGCGACTACTTAAGCTTTGAAAGTTTTCGGTTTAGTATCCGCCGGTGGAAGCAGAGGAAGGGGAGAATCTCCAATCCTTTGGAAAGACCAGGTGGAGAGGGACCTGGCTGTGCCTGGTATTTTCGAATTGGCGCCAAACAGCAAAAAGAAGAAACGAATGACCCAATGTTGTTAAATCGGCTATAATTGCGTAAGCGGTGTCAGCAGAAATCATTCTCAAACCCAAAAAAAAATTTAGGAAACTCAAACCTAAGTGCTAACTGGGCTGCAACGGACCGGGCTATATGCTCGGTAGCCAATTTCCTTAATATATTTTTGTTCAGAAGCATCCACAAGCAATCTAGAGCATGTACTTATAACCGCATAGTAAATATAATTCCTCCGTACTCACTCACACATGTATGCATGTGTAAATACGTACGAGTATATATGTGTATACGTATAAAAGCTTACATGAGTGTATGTTGGTAGGTGTGTTTTAATTGCCCAGTTGTATGTGCCATTTTAAATGTAATTTACGACATCTATTTGCAATTTCAAACCCTATACATAGAAGACGCACATATATATATACATATATTGATTCGATAGAACGACTCGACTGGACTCGCTACTGGACAAGTGACATGATGGCATTCTGAGCTGATTGGTATGGTCAGAGGCAGGAGGGTGAATGAAGAGGATAGTTGGTTAAACATAAGGTTACTTTCTTTTTCACCAGAGCTTACTTGTATTTACAAATGAATGTTTGAATGCGTAGCACAAAAACGCGGAGTGTAAGTTTGTGCTTATGCTTGCACGCCGTATTCGCAAAGTCGGATACTCTTTCTTTTGTTGTGTGCTGGTGAGGTGGTCACACTCTAGCGAAACCTGAAACGGCCATCAGTTGCGTGACTTTTACTTAACTACATAACTATTTTAACTTTTGCCTTTCACGTTCATCTAAGCGATGTCGATAGTTATAACTGAAAATTCTTCGATTATTCAAGAGATCAAATAACGTGATGAGAACTACAGCGTTCTTTATACAATCAATCGGGATCTGGAATTACTTTATATTGTATTTACTCAAAGCGATTTTGTGACATTGTGTTTTGTATCGAATTTGTTGCTGAGATGGTTGTTCTGGTTTTTTTTGTTTGCCCAAGAAGTACTCGAAGACTTAAAAGAAGTGTCAAAGTTTCTAACAACATCACCCAAACCGAGTACTAAATTATAACGTCTACATCTGACGACACCTTTACGAAAGACTGGACAATTTTGTGATTTAAACGCAATTTTTAAATTCTCAATACCAGCAGAAACACTGCAATAATTTTGATCGGTAGCTCAATTGATTTGGGATATATTTTTCTACTTCAAAGGCAATGTAATTTTGGACTTTCACTAGTTATCAGGTGTATAACTTTGCTTCCAAAAATAAAAGCTTTATTGCGAAAAAGTGTTTACAGATATATTATTCAAAGTATTGTCCTTCGCTAGCGGCAACTTTCTCCCATATTTCCGGCTCGAAAAAAGGAGTCCTCTTTTGACGCTATCCATGAAGCAATCCATTTTTCCAATTCTTCGAAGGATTGAAAATGTTGATCAGCCAGGCCGTGTGCCATCGAACGGAATAGGTGGAGGTCAGAAGGGGCGACATCTGGGGAATACGGCGGGTGGGGTAAGACTTCCCATTTCAGCGTTTCCAGGTACTTTTTGACCACTTTTGCGACGTAAGGCCGAGCATTGTCGTGTTGGAGGATGACTTTGTCATGTCGATCTTGATATTGTGGCCTCTTTTCTTTTAGCGCGCGACTAAGGCGAATCAGTTGCGTTCGGTAGCGATCTCCTGTGATGGTTTCACCCGGTTTTAAGAGCCTTGTTAAACTTGTTTGACTTCAACATCGAAATCACCATTTTTAAAACATTGAAACCACTCCCGACACGTTTTTTCACTCAGAGCAGCATCAACGTAAGTTTCTGAGAGCATTCGATGCACTTCAGCTGCATTTTTTTTTGAATCGTAAGAAAAAAATAAAGTCTCCCGCAAATGGCGAGAATTAGGCATATAAACGGACATTTTCGAGCGTGAATAATACGAAAACAAGAACAACTGTCACTGAAACGGCGATGACAAGTCGTTAGGCATTGTCCACACTCACTTTAAAGGCATTATCATCTATGTATGATAGAAAAAAGTAAAAAGGCACCGATCTTGGGGACTGGAGGGCTAAAATTGAGTTTGGGCTGAAGAGCTCCAAGTAGCAGAGCAGCAAACGAAATAAGTCATATTTTCGAGCAGGCTAGGTTAGATAAATTTGGGAAGCTACGGGAAGAAATTAATTATAAGAAGACTGCTTAAAGAAAAAGGTCACTCCTTATCAACGAAGTTTTATAGGATGTCGGTTAACCTTGCCGATTTCCACGATATAAGGGCTAGACATTTATTCCAACCAATATGTGAGTATTGTGAAAACTCACCATTGTAATAAGCAGCCAGTCTCAAAAGTCGCACATATGATATGAAAGCGGATTTCGCGCGATCACGATCGGCCAAAACAGAGCGCCACTCCCGCCAAAAGTATTCTAGATCAGCCAAATTCTTCGTGCGCACAACATGGTTCAAAATAGACGGCACCATGGAGAGCTGACCAAAGTGTACAAACATAATAAATTTAAATTTTTTATTTCAGATATATTTTGATTCTCTTTGTAAGCTTTACTCACCGTTTGCTGACAATCACCGAGCGAACAAACCATGCGGGTGGTTATAAAGGTCTGCATTGTATGCAGCAAATTCTTCGCCTCCTCGTAATCCTCATCCGACAGGCCATAGAGCTGTAATTTTGCCAGACGTTTAACACGTCGCCGCAATATCGGGTCCTGCAGTTGCATCACCGGTATGGTGCTAAGGTTAATTGCCAACTCACGGACGAGGTGGCGATAGTCATTTTCGATTTCTTGCTTTATTGGCGCTTGATTGACAACATTGTAACCGCGTCCTTTGGTGGTGAGACTGAAAAAACTGTTGCGACGCCGCGTCCAAATACTTTGCATTAGTGTTGAGGATTTGTTCAAGTATTCAATGGCATGTGCTTCATAAATGGCGGCATGGGGATATTTCGTTTGTTGTGTAGTGGTATTAGTGAGCGCAAAAGCTTTTGTTGCACAGTTGAGTAGGTAGAGAAACGTGAGGAGTACGATGAAGTAATGACAAATTACATATGGAAGCTGAAAAATTAGTTTTAGAATTGAGGAGACGCTATAGAAGAATAAATAATTTTTGTTGTTTCTATCTCAACTTACCAAATCTTGCCTGGAGTGTCGCCAGCTCATTTTATTCAAAAAAGAGGAAAAGTGATTCCAAAAACGTCTATTAAGAAAACAGGAAATAAAAAATAGCACTGATAAAAAGTAAGAAATCAAAGGAAAAAAATAATAAAAATTAAGCTTTGTCAATTGTAAATTGCTGATTGCGCTCCCACAGAAGCCTTATCAGCGATAAGACAGAAGGCGTACGCAGCTTTTACGAAGGCTGATTTCAATTGTTTGTATATGCATTAAACCTAGTGAAATTTACACAAACAAAAATACATTACATTATTTACTCCCTATAACAATACTTTGCAATATATACAGTATTTATATGTGAATATTATTATTATGTATACATACATATGTTCACAATTATATTTTAATTGAAATATTATCTCATATTTATTCAGCCTATAGAATGCTTTAGAACAATTGGTCTCTCAAATTTCATGCTATAAGGCCTTTAGTAAAAATTAATTTAAAATAAACTTGATAGAATTTATAATTTTTATTTTTTTACACAATTTTTACTACTCAACTTTTTTTTTTACTAAAATTTATACTAAATCTTCAATAACGCTGTGGTTCTGGTGAAATCACAGACATCACTGAAAGCTTAAAAAAACACCGCTCATATTGTGCGCTTGATTCTGTTACTTGTTGTCAGACCAAGTGAGTAATTAGAGCGAAGGGAAAGTAAATAAATCTCTTGCTCTGCCAGAGAAATGTATTATAGGCTATTGGTAGACATTACACAGGGACTAGTTTGTTTATTATTTCAAATTTTCAGCAGCCTCTCTTTGTTTTCAACTAAGCCGAAGGAGAGCCCTGGCCAGACCATCATCCAAAATTATGAGAAAGTTTTATCCAAATTCGCTCTTGGGCAAAGAGTGGCAATAACTCTCAATAAATATATATTAAATTAATTAGTAAGTTTAAATTGTAACTTCTAACGGCGCTGATAACGTTGTTTATATATATTTATATATTAATTTACGATAATTTCATTTTCACTCGTATTTTATCTGACCCAACTGTAACTTATTGTTTTATGTTCTCATTTTGCCTATTTCTTTGGATATTTAAGTATCAAGTATTAATATTATACGAAGATGAATTCATTTGATCAGCGGCTTTCTAAAAAAGAACACGTGTTAAACGTATAACCTTCCGCTCTATCCTTTTACAAGAAGGATTATTAGCTCAGCAGTAATTGGACAACATTCGCGGCTCCGTTGGCTGCTGATATTGAGCAAAATCTATACAAACGACTTTTATTTCCCAAGAAGGAATTGACACCTCAATACTACCTTGACGACATTAGACGCTCGTGGCTCTGGCGTCAGATATTATGAGCATTCCTTAGGGAAATTAATCCCTTTCCCTATAAACTCAAGTTTATGCAGTTATGAGAATTAGTTGGTAGTTTTCTAATAATTAAAAACACTTTTGTTTTTTTATTTTGTTTTTATTTCAATAAACTTTATTCAATTTGAGTGTTTTTGTTAAAATCAATGAGAGTTTCTTATTTCTGATCAGAGGATATTATTGGCGTTTTTGCAGAAGATTGTACATGTCGTTTCTACGTACATATTTATATTAAATAGAACGCCACGCGCGATTGTAAGTATGTATGTAAACGTAGGTGTCTTCAATTGTTAAAATCATGTTTAAATGCATCTATTCACAGGCTTTTCATTTTTATTTTGGCAAAAAGTTTAAACAGGCAATAAGAGCAAATGTATTTTTATATTATGTGTGTCCGTGTGTGCGTGTGTGGGTACACCGCTTGAGATTTCATTCAGATTACATTTGGGACGTGATGACATGTGCCACCCATTCATATTTACGCCTTTTGTTCTTCCTTTTCCTTCTCAATAAAATACATTAACAGTGGCGTTTGGTACCTCCAAGCCCAGTTTACACTCTTTGTATAGAATTAGAAAGAAGCAGAGATGAAAAACAGAAAAAAAAGTGGGAATGTATGTGTGTTTGTTTGTACATAATCATATAATGGTATCAGGAAGAGTATATGGAGTTGTATAAATGCATTTAGGTAAGTATGAAAGTGTATGTGTGCGCATACTCACTGTCAATGGACATCCAGCCGACATGCAAATTCTTGCTCACATTATCCTCGCTGATCCAAGTGTTCAAAGGCTCAAAGTACTCGAGGAATGCTGTTGCAGTCATATTTGTCATATGAATGCTAGTTAGTGGTTTGATTATTTCACGCCACGGCTTTGAAGATGCGGCGGTCATCATATCACTAGAAAAATAGAAAAAAATTATGAAAAAAATTCGAATTAAGAGACACCCGATTCTGTTGAATACATACTATGCATGAGCGGTCTGCCGACAAGTTGGATGGAAATTGGAATTAATACCTGATAATATATATCGCTTTGTATCTGCTGAAGCGATTTTTTGGTCGAGCTCCTTCTCCAACCTGTGGTTTATACTAAGCCGCCTCCGAACGGCTGATAATTTTTTGACGAGGAGCCTTTATGTCATGTCCGAAATACATTGGGAGGGGTGGACATTCCCTGCCGGGGGCGACCGCAATTAGAAAATTTTACTAAATTTTTATTTAAATTAATTTTTCATAAGTTTTGGATGTTGGGGGTACCGAGATGATATATATTGGAATGAAAATTGGTTTATGGATAGCTTAATTTGCGATCAACACTTTGGATTATTAAGGGGTTACATACATAGGTCTTTTTGTATAGAAGTACAAAGTGTCAGAACTATTTTCCCCCAAGTTTCAAGTCGATCGAGACGAAACTGTAGAAATTATAATAACCTGATTTAAACGCGTTTTTCTTAAAATCACTTTATCGAAGCGATCGAGTTAAAATTTTCCACACTTCTTTTAAGCATGTTTTTGTAGTCCCTGAACGAAGGACTTATTTTATCTTTGATTTCAACTCACTTTACTAGCCAATATGTGGCTTTTGTAAAAAACGCTACAAAAAAACTCAATTTTTAATATTTTTAATTTTTCTTCGTTATCGATTTCAGATCAAATTTAAAAAAATTATCGTGACTATCGTGAAAGCACTTTCTTGTGGACGGTCTACTTCACTACACTGCGAACGCCTTAACTTATACCGTTTTTCATTAAAATTTTCATCAAATATTGTCCACATATTGCACTTTTATATGTAAACAAAATAAATTGTATAATTTATTTAGTATCTTTTCAAGAAATTAGAGAAAATAAACTTTTTTTTGCCTTCAAGACCTATGTAACCCCTTAAGAAAAGTTTAATCTAAGCCGAGCTTAGCACGGATGAGTTGGGTTATAGGAAAATTTAATTTTAATAAATGAAGTACTCTATAATAGACAATTCTTGTTTTCAACTTCGAACAACTACATAAGAACGTGTCAAAGGTGCCCTCACACTTTCACACTTGCGAAATGTACTGCAGATAGATTATTCACACCTTAACCTTGTTTTCTCTTTCAAACGACTGGTGAAGATATTCGATACATTTTGCCCTCAGTCCATCACTTACATATGTATGTACCTCTAATTTTCGGAAATAAAACTTACTAAATAAATTTGCCTGCATGTTTGCTACCATAGAAATCGCAGTTATCCAAAGGCTTGTAAGCGTTACGTCGCTCGAATTCGCCAATATTCAGACAGATTGCGCGATATATTTGATAGCCCAAAAACTCATCGAAGAGTTTCCTGAATAAATGAAAAAAAAATTAAATAATATTTTTTTTTACTTATTTTATTTCCTCACTTTGTGCTTCTGAACTGATCAATAATGCCCTCATAAAATTTATAAGGCATATCATATGTACCAGGGTTAGTCAGTAATGGTGGCTCCACACCCATATATTTCTGCATAAGATTCCAATATCGGCAATTATAATGCTCAGGCTGAATTTTGCCATCAATCATTTCGACCCAGAGCTTCTCGTGAACATAGTAAGTAGGGAGAGTAAGTAGCGTGTGAGCAGCCTAAAGAAATTTAAAAGATGATTTGTTTGGAAATTCGGAAGGATTGAATAGCTGATGAAAATATTTATTTTAAACTGTATTCATATTGCTTTCTATGTTTGGCGATTTTTTCTCTACTCACTAAGCGGTATAGACGATTCAAGTTCAATATGTCATCATAATCATAGTTCTGCAAAATGCCCAAAGTCTGCTTTAAATGTTTCGGCGTAGACACAGATAAGATTACTGCCTCGCCCAGAGCAGCACCAAATCCAGGGCAGGCTTCTTGGTTGAGACCAACACGGAAATTGTTCTTCTCGGTGGCATACTGAACCAATGCAATGTCAGCATGAGTCTGTAGCAGTTTTTTATAGTATACCTTGGGACAGTAGTGCAATTCCACTTCGCCAAAATCGAAGATACGCGACTTGCAGTCAGGACCACCAGTGCCGGTGCTCATTTGTATAAAGTGATCTTGCATGAATTCGCTGAAATAAAACGGAAAATGTATATTCTCTTGTAAAATTTCGCTTATAACAATTTGAATCTTACTCCGTAAGGTTTCTAAAACCTAGTGAACTGAAGAACTGCACACTTATATTCACCAAATCGAAGGGCTGTAGATCCAGACTGTCTAATTCACTTTGAAGATTTGGCAGTTTTCTCTGTGGAAAGGGATTTTGCAATACGGTTTCTTTCTTCCAAGCCTGATATGTGACTTGTTCCAAAAGGTGGTGGGGAATGAGACCTGTTGGCGGTATAACATCGTCGCCGTATTTGTGTCGTAAGACATTACGTAAATGTGCATGCATTTCACGATAAAAAGGACGTAACGATTCCATCAAACTCTCCAACTCATAGATCAGATTGCGATCTTCATATTGATCATACCAAAAAGCGGATGCCGGCAAGTCTGGCGTGCTCAAATTGCGATAATAATCAATGTAGTAGTGCAATGCCTCCTTCACGTCGGCGGGCATTTTATTTCTCCACTCTTTCCAATAGTATTTGATTTCATCCAGATCATCGCTATTCGTGAATACTGTTTTAATCTGGTGAACAAACGCCATATTGCATTTTTTGGGTTCCTTCATATTGCACACCCACTTCTTGCGGGACATATTCTTCAAGGTACTTGTGGCTTTTTTGAATTTATAACTGATTGATGGATATTTAGCCCCACGAAGAATGACTTCAAACTGCCGCTTTAGCTGTGGATCGTCGAAGCTGCGCCAATCGAACTTTTGCATTGTCCCATAGAAGGGTCGCAATTTTTCTCGCATTAAAATTTCAGGACTCAGCGTATCGTCAGCAAATTGCCGATATGCAGTCGCGCTGGCCCAATAGACATCGTTGGCTTGTTTTATTAGATATTGTGCAGCTTCCTCATTGAAATATTCCGGTTCATTTGGGAATGAGAAGTTTAGTTGAGTGCTGGAAACAGCGGCCAACGTCGCGAGCTATGAGATGAGAGAGAGCATCAAATAGTATATAGTTCAGCAGATCACCTAGAGTTTTGCGGTTGAAAATATTTTAGCGCATTATAGTTATTTTCGTTGCATTTCTCATTGGCACAAAAACACAACTCTCAAACAAGCAGTGTTTCTGGGAGATTTTTTCTCTCAAAGCTCTTGTGCCCTACGTTGTGAGATTTCAATAAAGTACTAGCGGAAACTCGGCGGTTCACAACCGAGCTGCATACGACAAATACGAGGTGGGATGACCATTTTATGTGTTACATTCGGAATTGGTGGACATTTTAAATTTGTGGAGTGGAAGCATGTGCTTATAGGAGTTAGTTAACACTTGTACACCATCCTAAACTTTTGCTAGGGTCTACGTTACTCACACAAATTAGTGCTAACGATTTTGCCAGGTAAAGAAACTTTGGTGAATTGGTGGTTTTTTAAAATGTGCTATTGAAAATATAAGTGGATATTATTAAGTGGAAGAAAAGTATTTATGACTTCCTTCTACTTCTACACTTCTACATATGTTATAACGGAATTTTGGAACAATAAACTAATTTTTATAGTAGTAATCATGACGGTTATTAATTATTTCTAAATTTAACTTGTCAATTTAAATTACACTTCACTCTTGCCATTTTTATAACCTGAGAGTAATACAGCAATTTGTTAACTCGCCAAAAAACCATTTCACATCATTCACTTCACATTTACACATTCTACATTTTCGCAGAAAAGGGCAAAGCTATCAAATTATTTAGACTTGGTATGTTGTCTGGGCAAAAGTTCTGGTTTTTGCGCTTTTAAGCCTTTATTAGATTCATGTGGATTTTCTCAAACCAAAATATATCCTATAAATATAGCTAATTTTAGTATTAATTAAAGAATATTAGTTTTATTCCTTAAAGAAAATTCTTCACTGACTAATTCAGTTCAATTATTATGATTTTTTGTACTAACTAGCAGCGTTACTGCGAACTGGCACTGCAATATTTTCATAATTCTTTTTTTTTTTTTCAAGCCAGATTTTCCTAAACCGTACGCAAAAAGTGCATGAATAGAACTAAGTCTTAATGTTTATCATCGAATATATTTTCTTCAATTATTAGATGTGCGTGTATGTATGTTATCTTCACATACTTGTACATACTTCTGATTTGAGTTGACCCGAGTGATAGCCTTACACCAATTGCATGTTATAAAAATAATACTAAAATTAGGTTTTCTGTGGCATACATATAAGGAAGAAAAAATAAATAAATGAATAAAATTTTTGATTATTAAGAAACCTTACATATTCAAATCCACCTATCTTTTGGGAGTAAAATGCCAAAGAAGTTGCTGATATTAGTTTTCAGTGAAATGCATTTTTATTTTTAAGTTAATATTTTAAGTTAATTTTTTTTTTTTAAGTTAATTAAATAATGCTAAACTCATTATAATAGTCGGTATCTGAAGCTACAAGTACAATAATTATAATCCACAATCACCCCAATTCTGTATTTCGACTACCTTGCCGCATTCCATTCCATGAGGAGAAGCATACTCATCCGATAATTCTGTGGGAAGAGTTGGAAAAAGAAGTTTTCGAGATATGTGTGATCCCTTAAAGAAGAGCGACGAAGTGTAAGTAAATCGGATTGATAGAAGGAAATCCCATTACAATTGCTTAACTTATTTTGATGCTAATAAAGAACTTTAGACTTAATGAGAACGCTTTCAAGACCGATGACTGTGTCCAACGTTGCAAAACAACCGTGTAAAAGTCACTCGAAGTCATGGACACTCCACGTTGCTAGAGCATTACCAACTTTACCTGTAATGCCTAATTCTTCAAGTTGTTCTTGTGTTGTAGCAAAAAGGACCATAAAAGCTCGACAGCTAAGAAATGATACAATGACTTTTACGGCTCTCAAAATCAAGTTTTTTTCCATTCTGCAAAAAATCTTATTATATATTTAATTTTATTTAAATATAAAATTTAGCATTCTCCCGCCAATTAAATTGCTATGTAGGAAAACGTAACTACTGTCGAAATTCAGAAAAAATTGAATATATAGAAACGTGAGTTTCGAATATTGATTGCGCTAACCCCGCTTAGGTACAGGTTTTACTAATCTAAGTCGCCGAGGTAATCTAATGGGATGTCCAGGAAACGAGCCGTTTCGACGGGATTGGACAAAAGGGAGAGAGGGAAAGGGGGATAGATGAGTCGGTTAAAGGGGGAATGTGAAGAAGTGGTTAGTGTCATACGGAGACTCTCCACATGCAGGGCATTCGTTGGGTAATTAGAGTTTAACCTGCTACAGTATTCAGACCTAAGTTGTGCCAAGGTAACGCGGGTATCTCGAGGCACGTCGAGCTCGTTATCTACGATGGATGGGGGGAGAGTCTTTAAAGGTGTTGACTGCCTCCTGGTGAATGGCGTTCAGTGCCTGTCGGTGCGCCGTTCTGTCCAGCGGTTGTTGTACATGTTGCTGGATGAGTTTTTTAAGTCGAATACTCCCTTTCTAATGTGCCTAGGTGGAGGTTCAGCTTCTATTATTTGGGTGCACATATATATATGAGGACGTTTGTTTGTGAATTTGAACTTTTTCTTAGCACATTTGTGTGTTTTTTATGATGTTCTTAGTATCTTCCCTTCCGCAAATCACAGTTTCGGCTGCATATGCCAATTAAGATACCTGTTTCTCCATTTTCCCCAAAATAAATTTAAAAATTAGGGCTTTACATATAAGTACAGTTTTTCCTTTAAATTTCACGAAGCTTTTGTTATCTTGCCACATTTTTTCACATTTCAAGCTTACTTTTAAGCTGCTTGTCTTTCTCGTCCATTGGCCTGTAAATTGTATATACATATGTATATACAAATATAGGGCCCCTTAAATTAAAATAACTTATAAAATTAGTTTATTAAAAAACTTTAATTTTTGCTTCTTAAACTTTTGTACAACTAGTAGTTATAAACAAAATATTAATTAACTTCCGCTTTTGTGTTTTCTGGTGCCCTGCTATTATACCACCAACCAAAATTTTTTTCCAGAAGATTGGAATTTGCTAGAGGAACACAACATTTAAGGCAGCAATAGCAACAGCAATAGTGTCAGCTGCAGCGAACATGTTATATTTTGAAGTTTTTGTTGTTTTGGTTTTTGCTATCATTTAGTAGGTTATTCTTGCCCTTATTTCAGAGATGCGTTGCAGGAGCGGCTGAATAACGGGAATTAATTTTAGCGCCATGAATTTAAGTCAATTTTAGTAGAAATTGTGCGGCAATAGAGACTCTCTCTCCTTAACAGAGTGGACAATTTTAGCAGTTGGCTGTTAATTCCACGTGTATCGCAGAAAACTAGGCCAGTTTTTAAATTGCGAATACCATACTCATACCTAAATATATGTATATATATATATATGTATTATATATAGTAAATACATACATAGTAGATATTTGATATATCCAAAAATTAGTATATTTGAATAGCTCCAATAAAAAGTTTCAAAGTATTCGTTTAAAGCCCTAAAAATTTTTTTGTCATGGTTAAAACTGGACATTATGAAATTACAAAAAAAAAATCCGTGATAAAATTTATTATAACCTGAAGTGAAGCAGACCTCTCGAAACAAACCGTGCCGATATCGTTTTAATTTTTTACCGTTAGTTTTATATTCATGCATACATTAACTTAAGACCCAAACAACATTTTGTAAGATAGGTTAGGGACAACGCGCTGGTATGATGGCCAATATACCGGCAGTAGTTAATAAGCTGCACATGTAAGAGTATATGTGTATATATGAGTATTCAACATTCAACAGTGCCGCAGCAAGCTTTCGTCATTAGTCGCTTTTGCAAAGAGAGAGAGAGAGAAAATTGAAAAGAGTGTATTATTGACATTCACCGCGAAGTAGCACGACTTCTATGTGAGCTGCTATTCTTTTCGGGTCATTTGTGTTTCACACACCAATACTAACGTCTTCTTTCTCACTATCGTACTAAAATAGGGGGAAATTTTGAGTAATGACGAGGCAACGGCCGACGAGCCACTAGCTAGGATTACGTCAATCGGAAGAACCGTTCAGTCGCCGAAGAACCTCTTACAAGAATTGTGCTAAACTAGATTAGAGGTGCACGCGTACAGGTCGCCAGCCTGAAAATATGCTTTTAAAATAAAAATACTAAATTCCATAGGAAAAGGCATCAACAATAGAGAAGTAAACGAATGTATGGAATACAGGTGATATGCGAAAAACATAGCCAAGAGTTAAATACGAAACAGGAATGTGTGTGTTTGAATGTGAGTGGCACTGTACTAAAATGGAACAACATTTATTTTAAGAAAAACGAACTGAATTAAAGTGAAAAAGGTGTGAAAGAAGAAAATATTTTTTATGGACAGGAATGTCCTAAAAAATTTAAGCTGCAACTACTTAGCTTTCAATGTGCATGAAAAATTATTACGATAACAATAAATACAAGCAAATCCAATCTAAATAGAACGAAACAGTGTGTGGGAAAAGGATTAAAAAATGTAGTATATTCCTAACCTAAATACCCTAACATATTTCAAACACAACCACGCACACAGATGCAACGCATGCCACAACACCTCCATGCACGCATCCATATACACACCGGAGCTTTCATAGCTTTCAAACGACTACTTTTGCAGTTATGTTTGTGTTGCATTTGCCTTTATTGTAATTGCAGTGTGTGTGCGTCGAGTTTTTCCTGCATGTATTGGTGCGTTGCGGCGAGATCTGAGACTCTAACGTCAGACCGCCTCGGTCTGTTGCTATTTCGCGTTTTTGTGTCGATGAGCGGGCGGTCGCGCCATCGGACGGTAGTTGCGTCGGACGGATAGTCGGTCGTTAACTGTTTTATGGCTGCTGGATTGGATTGAGTATCGGTGCAGTGTTTTAGTACAACGGTGGCTATGTGCGTGCGTATAGGTTCGCAAATATTTCTTGTACCAAGAAAAACATTTTTCCAAAACAGTAGCAGCAAGGTGTGAGCAGAGAAGACCACATTAACTTAAAAAAAACTTAAATTAAAACCTACTTAACTAAACTAAGTCAAATAAAATAAAATTAGAAAAAAAAATTAGAATGAAAAAAAAAAAATAAAATTAAATGACATAAAATAAAATATAATCAAGTAAATAAGAATAAGATAAATTATATCATATAAATTGTGAAACCCAGAAAATTTTGTTATTAACGTTACGATAGGAATTTGTATTGACTACAAAAGAAATAATTAGAAATAAGTTTTAAATAAATTAAAATGTAAACTTAACAATTATAAATAACATTTCTGAATTTAAATTTATTTTCTTGCATGTATGCTTTCCAAACGAACCGTAACCGCTAAAAATGAATTTGATACAATGACCGCTGGCATACTTGGCAGCTCGGCAATGCGGGGCAACTTCCAATAGCTCCGAAAGTGTTTGAAATATATATATAGAGGCATACCTAAAAAATATATATATTGAAAAATTAAATATAAATATAAAGCAAGAAAGTGAAAACGAAGCTAAAAAATGGTAGATGAGTTATCCTTAAAACAAGAATAATGGTAAAAATAACAGAAAATAATTGCAGTGAATTAGAATTAGTAGAACAATAAGTAAAAAAGTAAAAAACGGGGAAAAATCAAAAAAATTAACAACAACTAAAAATTAACACAAATTATTTGCAAAATACTCGTATATGTATGTGTAAACATAGAAATATCGACTTATATTATATATATAATTTGTATAAGATTTTATTAATTTTTGAATATTTGAAGATAGAAAATACGATATGACAAAGAAAAAAATATATACAAGTGTCACATAGTGCAAAATTAATGTGAGCTTACAAATACTTACAAAAATGTTCTAGTATTTATAATTAAACCGTCAAACAAAACAAAAATTAAATAAAGTGTATTGAAGTAAAAATTCAATGAACATAATAAGTATTATAGAAATACAGTTAAAACCTTAAAATTCAGAGAATATAATTATTGAGTTTATTAGTAAATACTTATACAATATTTA